TATGAATTTTAGGATTTCTTTTCTATTTCTGAAAAATAAAGGCCACTGAAAAATTTTTTTAAAGGTTTTATTTTTCCTTTTTCTCCCAAAGCCCCCCAGTACATAATTGTGTATTTTTAGCTGTGGGTCCTTCTAGTTGTGGCATGTGGGATGCTGCCTCAGTACGGCTTGATGAGCGGTGCCATGTCGACGCCCAGGATTCGAACTGGAGAAACCCTGGGCTGCTGAAGCAGAGTGTGTGAACTTAACCACTCAGCCATAGGGCCGGCCCCAGCCACTGAAATTTTGATAGGGATTGCATTGAATCTATAGATTGTTTTTGGCAGTATTGAAATCTTAATAATATTAAGTTTTCCAATCCATGAACATGGGATATTTTTCCATTTCTTTAGGTCTTCTTTAATTTCTTTGAGTAGTATTTTTCAGTTTCATCTCCTTGGTTAAACTTATTCTTTAGTACTTTATTATCTGTGATAATATTTAAATGGAATTGTTTTCTTCATTTCCTTTGCGGGTTGTTCATTGCGAGTATAAAGAATTGTAAGTGATATTTGTTGATGTTGTGTCCAGCAACTTTGCTGAATTTGTTTATTAGCTCTAATAGTTTTTTTGTGGGATTCTTTGAGATTTTTCTATGTATAGGATCATGTCAATTGCCAATAGAGTTTCACTTTTTCCTTTACAATTTTTCCTTTTGTTTCTTTTTCCTACCTAATTGCTTGTTGAGAACTTCCACTACAATGTTGAACAGCCATAGGGAAACTGGGCATCCTTGTCTTGTTCCTGATCTTAGAAGGAAAACTTTCAGTTTTTTACTATGGAGTATGATGTTAGCTGGGGTTTTTCATAAATGCTCTTTAATGTGTTAAGGAAGTTACCTTCTATTGTGAGTTTGCTGAGTGTTTTTCTCATGAAAAATGTCAGATTTTGTCAAATCCTTTTTCTGCATCAGTTAAGATGATCATGTGGGTTTTTTTCCCTTCAGTCAATGTAGTGTATTATATTGATTGGTTTTCTTATGTTGAACTGCCCTTGCATTCCTGGTACAAACCCCATTTGGTCATGGTGTAATCCTTTTAATATGCTGTTGGATTTTGTTTGTTAGTATTTTGTTAAGGGTTTTTGCATCTATGTTTGTAAGGTATAATGGCCTATAGTTTTCTGTGATCTTTGTCTGGCTTTGCTATAGGGCTGGAGTCATAGAATAAGTTAGGAAGTTTTCCTTTATCTTTATTTTTTGGGGAGAGTTTGAAAAGGATTGGTGTTAATTCTTTAAATGTTTGGCAGAATTCACCAGTGAAGCTATCTGGTCCTGGGTTTTTCTCTTTAGGGAGGTTTTTGATTACTGATGCAATCTCTTTACTTATCATAGGTCTGCTAAGATTTTCTATTTCTTCTTTAGCTGGTTTTGGTAATTCGTGTGTTTCTAGGAATTTGTCCATTTCATCTATGTTATCTAATTTGTTGGCATACAATTGTTCATAGTATTGTCTTATAATCTTTATTATTTCTGTAAGGTGAATAGTAATGTCCCCATTTTCATGTCTGATTTTAGTGATTTGGGTCTTCTTTTTTTCCTAGTCAGTCTGGCTAAAGGTTTGCCAATTTTGTTGATCTTTTCAAAGAACTAACTTTGGTTTCATTGATTTTCTTTGTTTTTCCACTCTCTATTTTGTTTATCTCAACTCTGATATTTATTTTTTACTTCCTTCTGCTAGCTTTGGGTTTAGTTTAGTCTTCTTTATCCAGTTCCTTAAGGTGTTTGATTATTGCTTTGAGATTTTCCTTCTTTTTTAATGTATCTTTTTATAGCTATAAATTTCCCTCTGAGTACTGCTTTTGCTGTATCCCCAAAATTTTGGTATAATGTCTTTTCATTTTCATTCATCTCACAGTATTTTCTAATTTCTGTTGTGATTTCATCTTTAACTCACCAGTTATTTAATTTCTACATGTTTTTGAATTTCCCAGTGTTTCTTCTGTTATTGATTTCTAGCTTCATTCCACTGTAGTTAGAAAAGATGCTTTATATGATTTTAACATTTTTAAATTTATTGAAACTTGTTTTGTGGCCTAACATATAGTTTATCCTGGAGAATGTTCCACATGCATTATTTATTTTACTTAGAAGAAGTCAGAAAGAGGAATGAGAAGAATGTGTATTCTGCTGTTGTTGGGTGGAGTGTTTTGTACATGTCTGTTAAGTCTAGTTGGTTTATAGCACCCAAGAGTTGTAAGCAGTGCAGTTATATAACTGAATTCTATTTTTAAACACGTCCTTCTGCCTGCTGTTTGGAGAACTGACTGGAAGCAGGAAGATAGTGAGGAGACTATAGCAGATGTCCAGGTAAGAGGGGATGGTACCTGGACTAGGGGGTGGCAGAAAAGCTAGAGGGTAGCAGGTGATTTCAAGAGGTAAGTGGAGGTAGGAAGTAGGCTCCCTGCTGGATGAGAGATGGTCCACAGTCTAGGAAGGGACAGACAGGCCCCAGGAGGACCCGCAGGGTTCTGCCTGGCATACTCTCTGTGCCCTTGACCCAGCTGGTCACCATCAGCCAGCTCAAGGAGAACAGTCTTCCCTCATTTAGGGCTACATGGGGCTGACTCCAAGCAAAAAGTTACAAACCATAACTCCCATCAGCCTAAGAACTGTGGGAGGAGGGCGCTGCCTTGCAGAGAAGGCCACCACAAGTGCTATTTCTCAAGAAATAATCAGGTGGCCTCAACCTTTCTATAAAAGCACAGTACCTGCCTAAAGGCTTCTCCTTCACATACGTTAGTTCATTTGTGCTTCAAAACACCAAAAAGAAAGGAATCCTACCATTTCTCAGTGATATGCAGCATGTGCTACTTTGAGTTGTACCTGAATGTTGTCCTGTGTCCTTACCCAGAAGGCTATCCAACCCCTTGGGAACATGAGACACGTGCTGCATCTCTAGCCCCTGACCATGCCTAAGGGGACGAAATGAAGGAAGACGAGCCTGAAGCTGCTCTCTCAGGGGAGCCAACCTCTCCTAGAAGTCCAGGCTAGCAATCTCTAGCACTGCCCAGCTGAGTTAACAAGCATTTCTACACCAGCTGCAAAAGAAACCCCTCCCACTGGCTGCCCCAGGGAAATTGTTCCAGAATGACCAATCCAATAAAAGTTACCTGATACATTATTTTCAGGAAGTTCCTAGAAAATGCAGCAAATTTTTATTTATTTATTTTATTTATTTTACTTAGGAGAAGCTAGAAAGAGGAAGCTAGTTCTTCCATGAGCAGCAATGTTCCCACACTTGGCCAACAGGGTTGTTCTGAGCCCAGCCACACCACCAGCCACATCATTCACCACATTGGCTTTCTACAGGCATCCAAATTGAGATCAGAGGTCCTGCTGGAGGTCTCAGCACGGCCCTTGTCTGAGATGGCCCCAACACCCTCCTTCACGGGAAATGGAGTGGTACCCTGAGGACCCCTTGCCAAGCTCAGCATCACTGCTGACACACCAGAGCCCCAGGAGTGCTGACCCCAAGGAAAAGAGTCACTATGGGGAGGACCTATGCTCCAAAGGGGTGAGACCTCTAAAAAGAAGGTCAGACTAATATTCAATGGCCTTCAATGTGCGTTAACAAGCTAGTACTGAGGGAGAGTCCCCAACATGGGGAGATGGGGCATGGTGACAAATGTCACTAGCATCTCTCATTCTACTTTGTGCTAGAGCTACTTCCAAAGGTCTCACCGTCTCCCCAACCAGCCTATGAGATAATCCTGGAGAGCAGGGGCTGTGACTTATTCTCACCTGGAGCCCTGCCTTCCTAAAAAAATACACAGACCTGTGGAAACATACACCATTTTCCCTACAATTTATGAAGGATCAGTTTCCCAATCTCCCCTCGACCCCCCGCTGCTGTGTGTGTGGACCCAGTTTTTACCCATCAGAAACATTTGCTATTGCTCTGGGTGGGCAAGGCTGTGGAGAGGCAGGCATTCTCACACACTGCTGTAGGCATCTAATGGTAAACCCCTATGGAAGGCAGCTTGACAAGCTCTCAGAATTACAAATGCACACTCCCATTGAGCCACAACCCCTCTTCCTGGAACGTACACTTTGTTTATACTTATACACACGTGAAATGAAATGCAAGGTTACTCACTGAACACAGTGCATCATAGCAAAATAAAGAAACAACCTAAATCTTCACCAACAGGCTATAGGTTAAATAAACTACAGTACAACCACACAATGAAGTACTGTACTGTTATAAAAACAAGGAGGAAGTTTTTTTATGTACTGGTAGGGAAAAAATTCCAAGATAAATCTCTAAATTGAAAAAAAGCAAGGCAGAGGATAGTGCTTATTTTAAAATAAGTACCTATCTGAATATACATGTAATGACACAAGACACTGGTAGCTCTGGTTGCCTCTGGGTGGGAGAACAGGGTGTGTGGCTGAGGACAAGAGTCAAGGGCAGACTTCACCATATATGCTTTTGAAATTGTATAAATCATATAAAGATATAATATATTAAAAAATAAATGTATTAAAGTAAAAAATAAAACATCTTGCTCAGGACATCTGAGGGGGCCTTCCACCTCGGCAAAAGCAGCAGCTCTGGCTAAATGGTTTTCAATCTCCATAAAGGGCCTGGGAAAAAGTCTGGCCCCAAGCACAGGTGCACGCTCCTGGACTCCCACGTCTGACTGCTGCTCCGGGAGCTGACCCACGACAGCATCTGAAGGGTCTGCTGAAGTCTAGGAACCAGACTTGTCCAAAGAAAGGCACACATAGTACTGCCCACCACAAACATTTCCATCCCAAGAACTGCCAGCCACCCCGAACACCTAAGCATCTCACTGCAGAGGACACACAGAGCTGAGTGGGAAGCGCGAACACACACCTTGACCTTCCAGGGTTGGTCTAGACTAGCTTGGGTCTCCTGGTCACCACTGCCCACTAAGCGCTTTCAATTCCCACTCTCTCCAGACCCATGACACCCATTGTGCCGAGCGCTCACTACCTGAGTGGCTGCTCATCAGGTGAACAGCCTTGGCCTTGGCCAGCTCCAGAGTGGTGATCCAGTGCTGCCGCTCCACCTCTGAGCTGGCCTTGAGGTGGTAGGTCCTTGCCCCATTGGTCAGCATGATACCGCAAGAGTCCTCCTTGTCAAAGTGCGCGGTGCACAGGTTGATGGTGCCACGGCAGGTGTGGGCCATTTCATCCTGATTTCTGTAGGATGTAAGAGAAGGTATGGGGTGAGGCTCCCAAACTCAATAGCTCTAGACTGAAGAAAGCCTCAAGGCAAATCCTGAGAATCTCAGACCCTTAGAGCTGGGAGAGGCCCTGGAGTCAGAGCTGGCAGATAATGCCTATTGGGATTGACTGGTAGATGTTTGGTTGAGAGGGACTCAGTAGAGAGACTGGCAGAAGGAGGAGGGTCTGCATCAGTGCCATATGTAGGGCTGCTCGCTATGGTCTGAACCCTCGCAGACACCAGGAAATGGAGAAGGTGACTGCCCAGGGTCCTGATAGGCAGCACGGCCCATTAACCCCATCCCAGGCTCTTTCCACTAAGTCTCAGAACCACAGAGTTGGAGCAGGGTGGGAACCTTACACTAAAACTGAAATTAGAGACCCAGGACCCCAGGGGGTGGATTTGGAGGCAGCCCCTGCAGGAGTGACCCGGGTACCAAGATCTGCAGAGCAAGGATGTCACCATTCTGCTCTGGCCCTACAACCAATGAGACGAAGGCAATGGCTGGGCTAACACAGCGCAACCTCATGTCAAGGGACTGCCCCTTTGTTGGTTACCAGATTATGGAGCTAATGGTACCAAAGCAAGGGGAAGCAGAGGTGACTAAAATGTGGGCCACTTCCAACTGTGACCAGTGACTGAAAACTGAGATCCAACCATCATGACTGGATCTACTTAACTCACTCCGTTAGATACTCAAAGGAAATTCAGAACCCCACATGACAGACCAAGTCTCTTTTCACAGGGGGTGCTGGGAAAAGAAGAGGAATTGGTCAGCATGTAACACTGCAAGAGGCAGGAGCTCATTTGGCAATTCTGCTGCCCTTGAATGTTCATTATTTCCCCCGACTGTTTATTGTTTGTTATTTTCTTGATTCTTCTACCAGTTCTTAAAGTCAAATGACTTGACACTCAATAAGACATTCACCTTTCATCTGGACAGTTGCTGCCTTTTCTGATTCCCTCATGCTTTGGTTACATCCCTTAGAGAAGATGACTCAGTCTACACCTGAAAAAACCTCCAGCTCTTAGTGCTGATATCTTTCACTTGAAGGAAACGCATTCTGATTTACAAACCTGGCAAAGCTGGGCGTACCTGTTGGAAACTTGCCGTTTTAGATTTAAAGACTTTTAGGCTAGAGATTGTTCAGCTGTTAAATAGCATAGTAACAAACCAAAAAGACACTATGGTTTAGTTCAAAAAAGAAGAATGGGGTGACAGTGTTCTAGGCAGAGGGAAAAGTGGCAAAGACTATGAGGCGAGGAGAAGTTTACAGCTTTCAAAGACAGGAAAAGGTTCCGTGTGGCTGGATCACTGAGAACAAGAGAGTTGACAAGAGAAAAATGAAGCTAGAAAATAAGGCAGGGATCAAATGTAGTACCTTGTAGGTTGTGTTAAGCATTTAGACTTTTATCCCAAAATTAAAAATAGTGGGCTTCTGGGCCTAATGTCAGGAAAGAAGAGGTAGCCAGGAGTTCCAGAAGTTCCTACGGAAAACAGGAAACAGAAGTACCCTGTACAAGACGGGGAGATGGAAACCAGGTGACTATGTGAAATCAGGGCTGGCTGGAAGTACTGGATTACAATCCATCAACTAAAATAAATACCCACGAGTCCATACTGATACAAGTAAATAACTGAAGGGATAAATAAATGGGGAAGAGAGAGATCTTCCTTAATAAAAGTAGATAAAATTATGGAAACAGAAAATCACTAAATGCAATGTGGGATCTTGGACAGGATCATAAAATGGAAAAAAAGACATCAGTGGAAAAACTTGTGAAATATGAATAAAGCCTGAGGTTTCGTTTATAGTATTATAACAATGTTAATTTCCTGGTCCTAAAGATTCTACTTTGGTGAGGTAAGATGTTAACATTAGGGGAAGTTAGGTGAAGAGTATATGGGAACTCTCTGTACTATTTTTGCAACTTCTCTGTAAGTCTAAGTTATTTAAAAATTTTTTTTTAAAAATAATGCTACCATCACATTCTGCCCATGCTCATAGCTGATATGAAGCCTTGTGGCCAAAACATGAACTCACTTGCCCTCAGGCTCAGTGACTGGGTTGGAGATATTCCCAATGTCACTGAAAGACAGAAGCCCTAAGCCCCCATCATAAAGCCTGGTTCTGGACCAAGCTCTCCAGCGGTCAAGGGGGAGACACTTTAAAAATCACCAGATCAAGAAGAGTAGAGTGGTAGGTAAGGCTCGGGGAGGGAGGCAGAACCTCTGAAAAACAAAATTCAAAACCTATGAAGAAAATCAATGCTAATAAAGAAGCCAACAAAGTTAACACTCAGAAGATGAATCACTTCAGACAAAACGGAACTATCAGAGAAACATGAAAAAAATGAAAATAAATTGATTTAGGATTCTCAAAGATGAAGGAATAACATCAATAAAAGGAAGAATAATTTGTGAAACAAAAGTAGCTAAAAATGAAACAAGAACAGGTGGATATGAAAAGTAACAAGAGAATTTCAGGAAATGAAAATATAGCAGATAAGCTTTACCAGTCACCCAGGACCCAAATCTAAATTTAAGCTTAACTCATTGTAACTAAAGTTACTTTTCATTAAAAGACTTGAGGAGATTAATTTTTCTGTTTTACTTTTCTGTGTTATTTGGAAGAAATTATATCGTGGCATATGTGAAGTTGGAGATTGAAAGCCCCTTAAAATTATCAAGGTCCAATGCATTTGCTTATCTTGGAATTTAGCTCTGCTCTTTTTTCATTTAGATATTTGTGGCCAATCCATTCTCCACCAGTGGCCAAAGTGATAATTTTTGTCCTATTTAGTCAGTTTTTAAAAATTTCAATGTCTTCAGAGTCAGTCCTGAAAGGGCCCACAATTTAGGGACATATCCTAAAATTCAGGTGGTTTTTTGGGAGGGGTGCACCTACCCATGTTGTATATAAAGGTTTTGTGTCTCCCTATTGAGAGCTCTGGCTGCAGTAGGCCTCTCTCTAAGAATCAACCTTCCAGGGCCACCCAACAGCCCAGACAGTGGAAAAGTTAAGGCCCCATTCACTGCACTCTGGACTTGGGTCCTACAAGCTGCAGTGGCAACTCCTCCTCCTCGCCAGGGGCCTTTGGAGGAGGGCAGCAATCCAAAACCTATTCTCATGGAGCCCTGGGCAGCTTCAGTGGCTTCATTACCTCAAGTCAAACCAGTCCATGTCCTAGGGCCTCCCAGTTATATCAGAGCTCATATCAGCATACATGATCATACATCTTCTGCCATTTTTTTAAGGAGACACGTTTTGAGGCATTACTTCACATTTGGTGGATATTTTACATATTTAGGACAAGTAGAGACAAAATATGAAACACCTGCAGTAAAACTTAACCGCAAGCAAGGTTACCTTATATAACTAACATCCTTCTAAGTGAATCACACCAACTCCCAACCAAACAATACTCGGTAGTACTGAGGGCCGACATCCTTGCCAGAAATGAGAATGTGACATCTGCCATAACAACTTGGAAGCCTGTAATAGTTAACGTAGCACTTCCGAAGCACTAAGTGAGCTGTAATAGTTAATGTAGCACTATGGCTAGTGACTAACCCACCTGTATTGGGTACAAACCTTGTACACCAGCTCAGAGTCCCCTCACCACCTCCTCCATTCCTTCTCTTGGTGCCCCATTTGGCCTGAGTCACCCCTCCATTTCTGGACTTGGAAGAAGAGCTGAATCTCAGAGTACAGGATCTGGATTCGTGAGTGGCCACCAAGAGGCTGGGTCTTTGCAACTCACTAGTGTGGAAGGGTTAGCGCCTCACAGGTTGAATAATGAGCAGTGGGAAGTGGGAAATGGATGGGAAGCAGGCAGGTAAATATCTCTTACTTACTCTCTCCTGGATGTCTCCAAGGTATGGTTTATCCCTGCAAACCTTCTGGAGAAGTCCATGAGCCCAGAGAACACGAGTGGTCTCTGTGACCCTTGCAGTTTGCTGTGAAGCGGTGGCTGGACAGTAAAAGCACCATCACTTGGCAGCCTTCCGTTGCCCTTCTTTCCCTTTTTGCCTCCGCATCACCAAGGCTCATCTTGCTGCCCCACTGAGTACCCAACCTGCCAGCAGGAGAGACCACCACTGAACCTACAGGGCATGGCCCACTCCTTGGGAAGAACTAGAGGGCCACCAACTAGATTAGACCCCTTCCACCTTGGTGGGGGTAAGCAATTTGCCCTTACTGAAATCACATTTTCTGGTAACAGAGTTGCCAGCAGCACTATGTTCCAGTTATCGACTCCTCATCTGCTGGCCTGGATTCCTATATAACACGGTCTCAGACCAAATCACCCATTTCGGCCAAGAAGGTGCATCAATGACCCCTGACCATGGAATTCACTGCTCTCATCATGAACCCTGCCATCGCTCAGGAGCAGCCAACCTGACAGAACAACAGAATGGCCTGTTGAAGGCTCAGCTGAGGTGCCCTCTGGGGAGACTATGGGCTTGAGCTTCTGTCCTCCAGGATGCAGTATATGCCTTGAACTGACAACTGATATCTGGTGCCACGTCCTACATAACCACAGCAGATGGGTCCAGGAGTGGCCCTGCTCACCGTCACATAGTAACCCCTTGCAGAGTTTGTGCTTCCTATCCCCGTACACTTGGGCTCAGCTGGGTTAGAAGTTCCAGTTCCAGAGTACTGGGGTACAACACAAAAGGCTTCTACTAAACTAGAAGCTGATGCTACCCGCCGGCCACCTTCGGCTCCTCATGCCAGTGACCAACAGACCAAGAAGGGAGTCACTATACTGCTGGAGTCACTGATGCTAATTGCCATGAGGAGTTAGGTTTGTGGCACACGTGGAGATAGGAGAAGAATGTCTGGAACAGAGCTCAGGGGATTCCCTGGGGAATCTCTTAATACTTCCACTTCTGGTAAAGGCTATTAATGGGCAAGGCAACAAGGAACTCAGACCCCTCAGGACAAACATCACAGACCAGCCAAAGTGC